ATTTTATCTTCATTGTATATAAAATAATATATTTTATTAAAATTTTTTATTATTAATGTTCTACGATTGTGTATATGTTTCCATTTAAATTTTATAAAAGGAAAGAATTTGCTCCTTCGTGGAGCTGTCACCCCTTTGTGACTACTCATGACAGTTGGCCAAGATACTACACAATGGGTGTTATTCTCAATTTTGAAGATTTCCACTCCCTGTGGAAACAGAGAAAACTTGGAATTCTCTTGAAATTAGAAAATATCACTAAAAACTGGAATTCTTAGAGACTTTAAACATACTAAGGGAAAACCTGGAATTCTCAAAAAATTTGCACATATCATTGGAAAACCTGGGATTGAACAACCAATGGGAGGGACATCTGAGATTCTCAGGGAATTTGAACATATCACTGGAAAACGTAAGATTTCAAAAAACCTCTTCATTATACCCATTTTGGAAATTTGAACAATTAATGAGACATCTGGCATTCTTAGGTAATTTGAACATTCCAATGGGCCATCTTAGAATTTTAACATACCACTGGAAAAAAATGTGATAATGGGATTCTCAAGGAATTTGAACATATTTATGTAAGTCTCTCAAAATATGGAATTTCAATAATTTAGGACAAAAATTCTTATTTCGTTAATGAACGTTTTGGTATTCCAATATATTTGAAAATTTTTTCTTATTTGATTTCTACATCTTGCACCCTAGGGTTCCCACTTGATCCCTGTCACACCTGTTTTTTTTATTTATTATTTCCCTTTTATTTTTTTTGTTTATCTTCCTCTAATGATTTAGCTGCTTTGCACATAATTGTCTGGTTAATTTTATTTTATCATTTAGTGTTTGCAATTTTAAAAATACAACTTTTTAAAAAATTGATTTCTGAGGAACTATTTGACCGTATTCGCTCCTATTTTGTATTTGTTCCATTTAAAATGGAATTCTTTAAGATAATGTAATAAACTATATACCTTCTAATTTAAAAAAAATTTTCGACTGTTATTTAGTAAAATAATAAATATTTTCTAAAGGTTATATTTTAAATGGAATTATCTTTGGATAAACAAATTTTATAATTGTGTGCAAAAATGTTTCAATTGGCATAAAAAGTTCTCAAGATATGGTGAAATGCGCAAAAAGTAAAATTAATAAAGGTGTCTAAACTTTGAACTGCTCTCCTGACCAAACTAGTCCTGTCAAAAATCTGAACTTATCGAGAGAAAAAAGGTATGTTTATTCAGGGATATTACGTTTTTGTGTCTGATTTCGTAACTCAAAATAGCATCTGCTCTAATTAATTAGCATATTTGATGAGCCCTTCGAACCTTTAAGATTAAGTCCTAAATCGTGAAAATCCAATCATTAGATCAAAAGTAATATTCATGGTGGTCTGTGCACTGTACTTCCCATTTCTATAATTTTAATTTGTATTTTACTCATGGCTGTTTTGTTTTATTCATGCATAGCACAAAATATTCCCTATCCTCATTCGAACTTTCTGTTGATGTTTATTTGATTGGTTTCAAACACATTATTTAGACATAATGTTTTTAAAATTCATCATTCCTGGTTGATTTTTTATTGTAACTAATATATTTTTCAGTCTAATGTCTCTTTTTAACGAGTTTGAATGAGCATTACTCTGCTTATAAGTTATATAAAGCGATAGAATTAGTTAAATGCATCATTATAATAATATCCTGCTTTGTACATCGTTCTGAGAAGGGTTTGACTTAATTGTTTCAAAAGAGTCAGGTGAGCCAATCTTTTTTCCCCTGCACCTTGTGTCGACAATTTCCATTATTTCTGTGATTGGCGTTTATCCGTTAATTTATGTTTACATAATGAGTCTTATTTTGCACAATTATTAGATCTAAACATAAATTAAGAACTCAAATTTTTAAAAGTTGCGATGATATTATATGATATAAAGTAGTAATATTATATGATAAAAGCGACGATATTATAATGTATTTTATCCTTAGCACATTTCGATAATTTTTTTAAAAAATAATACTAAATAAATAAATAATCTAAAATTGTGAATATTTTATTTATTGAACTGGGGGACCCTCCACAGATTTTATAAAGTGATTGAAGTACCTTATTTATTCTAATAATTTTGTTGTTTTAGAATATTAGGTATAAAGAAAACTAGCTTGATTCATTACATTTTAATCCAATGAAATTTTTTAAGGGGATATTAGCGAGTCATTTAAAAAAATTTATTAAAAAGAAATCAAATCGCATGTGATGTTTCAGAAATTTGGATTAATCTCTTTGTACCCGTTATTGGAAATGAATTAACAATTAATAATCATAGAATTTATAAAATAATGCTCTGAGATATAGACCACAAATAATTTTTTTAAATTTTAAATTCCCTTTTTTAATGAAAGGCATTAGTTTTTTAATTAAGAAGTATTTAATTTAATAAAATTATGAATTTTTACAGAGTGCTAAAATCTTCAGATTAGCTCTTAGTTAGAATTATCCATTTGAGAGTTCAATAAGTAGTGACAACAACTAAGAAAAGAGTCATATAACTTAAAACTGAACGAATACTTAACCGAATGCATGTATAAGAATATTTTTTAATTTAATTTATAGTTTATTAATTATTTCTTCATATAGTATTTTTTATTTTTGTTTAATTTGCAATTGTAATGGTGGTTGATTTGCAAAAATTGTGTTTCTTTGCATTAGTATGCTAAGTTTCAGCTTTTTTTTCCCCTCTTTTTGTGGCATGCCTGAAAAAAAGTCTATGGTGCTGAAAAAAGTAAATGAAAGTTTAGTTAATGTTAGTCAGAATAGACACAAAACTGCAGACATTCAAAGTAGACTTTATTTTATCACCGGAAGAATATATAGAATATACATAATCTTTTTTTTTCCAACCTTGTGCCCATTTGAGACATTTAACTACAACATGTAAACAGTAAAAAACAAATAACAACCAAAAACATCATAAAAACAATCCTAAGTCGTAAAACTGTTAGAACACATCAATATACAGTAAATGCACAAAAAAAAGCTATAAAACTATAAAATATATAACAAACCTCAATGACTTGACTGTGACTGATAGTGTATATATATTTAGATAAAAACAGACAACTGCACTTACATGTATTTTTTTCTTCTCTGAATATACGTTGAACATTTTACAAAAATACTAAATCAAAATAACTGCATGACATAAGAGTTAACAGTGCCCTGACCTGCAGGAATAAAAACACTGAACAGTACAAGCTGTACAACCAAGTACATCCAGAGAAATTCGTAAGTATATCTGTACAGAGAGGAGTGCAGCAGGACAGATATCACAAGGAGAAGAAGCTGAGGAAAGCTTGAGGGGGTACAGGAATGTACAGTTGAGCAGAATTAACTAGACTGCCATTTGCGTCGTTCATGTACTCTACTGTACTGGGAATACTGTGACTTAAATCCAGACATGGGTGGCCATGAGACTAAAATAAAACAATATTTTCACAAAGTTGATATTTTACTAGGCTAACTAAACATTCATAACTAAGTAACATTCGTCTAATAGACTCTGCCAGTCGCGCTCACACTACCTCACTCACAGTACCTTCACGACTAGTCTGAAGATGACGAGCATGGCTGTACATTTAATAGTACTTTTTTCAATATTTCTTGAATTCGAAGTATTATAAAATACGTTTGCAATTACTGAGGCAATGCTATTTTTGGTTATTGTGGTTTATTATTATGGCTGCTATTAATGTTCATTCGTAATTTTCAACCTAATACAGAAGACAAGGAAACTCCTAGATCAAGCATGAAAACAAACTTGTTTGATAAAATTTTTGAATCCCCACATCTGTTTGTTTTGCTTTTAACTATCGCTCTTCATTATGTTTGGGAAAATCTTTTCCTTTTGCCCAATTAATAAACTAGCCATCGTCTTCCTAATGAAACTCAAACACAGGTAAAAAGTTGAGTCTTTGAATGTTTGTGGGGACGGAGTTATCGACCATGCCAACCGTCATCTATCAGAAGGTACCTCATGATAGAATCAAGTTAGCATGCTTTATATACTAGTGAATGATGTTAAACTTTTGTAGTGGTAGTTACGCCACAGTACTCCCCCACCAGAATTTTTTTATCAGGGATATAATTCGATGAACAGATCTCACTAGTTGATGTACTTGTGAAAGACCGGGAGAGAGTCACCGGATTTTTTGAGTGCTGAATGTGAGAGGTGTATTAACATCACAGTCGAAGTCGCTCCTGTGTTGCCATTAGCAGTCGAGAGTATGCAGGCGTTGAGAGTGTAAGCGATGTGTGAATGTTCGAGACGAGATTGAGAAGCAACAGCGCAGGAGGTGAATGATGCATTCACAAATAGCAAGTCAACCGTACAATGTGGACTATCCATCGAAGTAGGCGCAACCGTTACGAGATTGTGAAGTGGGCGTTACTTGCGTGAGCAAATCACGTTCGAAGGTCACCAATGTGGGGACGGAGTTATCGACCATGCCAACCGTCATCTATCAGAAGGTACCTCATGATAGAATCAAGTTAGCATGCTTTATATACTAGTGAATGATGTTAAACTTTTGTAGTGGTAGTTACGCCACATGTTCTTTTAAAAATTTTGCTACCAGTTTTTTTTTTCAGTTTTAAAACGACGCTGGTGATTACATAAGATCTTTAACGTCATAAATGATATCATTACTTTTCAATTCTTTGTGAACTGTTATCAACTAATTTAATTCTTCAACCAAAATTGAAAAATTAACGTGTAATGTACGTGAAATTTCAACTTCTTTGAAAGTAGACTCGTTACCACTGCAGTTGCACGTAATAAGGTTTAAAAAAAAAGCTTAGATTTATGCGAGAACTCCACCATATTTTTTGGATGTAATAAAGATGTAACTAAAATTATCTAAGTAATAACTTCACTAAAAGAGGTAAAAAATACCCCCTAAAGAATTAAAATTACTGTCTTAAGTTCAACTAATCCTCTTCTCTTATTATGTAAATTTTGAACTGAAGATTAAATAAAAAAATAATCCCCTCTAAAAAAAATCCAAAAAGTTTTCCTCCGCAGAAAAGATTTTGCAGTCTAATCCACAACCCCAAAAATTCTTACTAAACCACTAATGGTAACTGCGCTTCTCTTATTTTTTTCTTTTTTATGTGAATGTTAAGTTGTGCATTGAGGATTATGTCATAAATAGGCTGGAAAAATATAACTCACTAAAAAGGTTTTATAAATTATCCCCCCCCCAAATATAAAAAAAATGACTTCTTAAATAATCAAAAATTTTCTTTAAATCTAAATTAAACTTTTAAAACTACAAAACTGTTTAAAATATTTTTAAAAAAAGTATTCAACCCTTAAAAATAGCTATGGTGACTTCTCCCCCTATAATCACCCCTGCTTACACACAGGGTGAAGTTTTATCACATTATTACTTTAAGTGAGGGCTGCACAGTGAACAGGCAAATTCAAAACTGGTCTATACTTAACTATAGACTTAAATTAAGTAATACAAAATCCTGAATAATTTCAAAAAATATTAAGCTTTCTAAAATAAAAAGAATTAACTTTGAATAAAATGAAAGTGTAAATTATCTCACCTTCCAAAACAAGCATCGGCAATACCGGCATAAAAATAAGCTCTCCGCATATTCCTCTTTTAAACCATGTTTTCTGAAAAGTAAACATTATACATTAAGAAAAGGCTTCATAATGGGCAAAATAAAAATAAAATAAAAATTTTTTAAGCAAGTTAATGAGCATAATTTTCTCTAATTAGTGCAATACAAAAGCGTGGAAAAATATAAAAATTACTATCGTAATAGTATCACATCAATGCATGAAAAGAAATTTTATAGTACTGTTCCAATAAAAAATAAACTATATTAATTAAATAATATTCCCTCACTTCAATATTTAATTAATGTTTGTAATAAAGTTCAAAACTTCTTTTATCAAATAATTTTAAAATAAGGTCTCATTCGGAAATGCGGAGCAGTCATTTAGTGGATGATCCCTGAATTAGCCATTGAAACATTTTATGATACTATTTCCGCATTCTTTATTGCAATCAATTATTTTTAAAATGTCAGATGTAAAAGAAAAATCAATACTTGTGAAAATAATTCCTTCTCCCCACAATAATTGTTATTGCTTTTTGTTTAAATAGTAAATGTATGTAGACTGAATTAATCATATAAAAATTAGATAATGTAAACATGTTAC